TAAGGAAACTTTAGAGAAAACATTGGTTCAACTTGAACTGCTATGCTAAAAAGGAAGAATAAATTTGAAACAAAGACCCTTAATAAAATGTAGAAAAACACGAAAAAAATGGTGTCTCAAGAACTAAGATCAAGTAATGATTAGATTTATTTATTTAGAAACAAGATTATAGGTATATATCTTGGGTGTATTTGTTAGAATCACAACAATACGCTCTCAAATCAGTAGACACGCTGCCAGATGAGAAAAATAAATATGCTGATAACTGCAGGAGATATGTCTGAGTGAAAGAGAGTGTTTGTTATTCTTGTGATAACTCATGGAGATCTCTATCGCAGATGACATGAAAGGAGTTATCAATAGGAATAAATGGCTTAGAATATGGTTGGCTAAAGGAAGTTTGAAAGTGACAAGATTGTTTGGGATTAAGACTAGCTTAAAGAAAAATGGAAAGGAGAGTGTATGTTACATCGTTCGGTAGAAGAAATTCCGTTGTAATAATTGTACAATAATAATTTTATTTTGAAGTACCAAATGAAATATGCTTCTTAAAACAGTTTATATTAATAAATAATGACTTTTTCTATTAATTGATAGTAGGTTTTAGTAGTTCCTCACAAAAAACCTTGACTAAAATCAATTAAACACAAAGTAATAAATTTACCTATAATAGAATCGCACCTTAATTGTTAAAATAAAGATAGAAAAATAAGTTTATTTTCAATGTCATTACTTTGAAATAGAATCCCTTGTAAACTAAACAAAAAAAAATTAAACAAAATAAACTATAATTAATTATTAAAGTGGCTGTAATTTTTTATAAACTTTTTCATGGTCGCTGACCACTGCTTATACGGAAAATTAGTATCTCAAGAAAAAACATTCGTTAATGAAATTTTATTGATTTTCCATTCTTGTTTATTCATTTTGTTTTTATTTCCCAATAATATAAGCTTTTCTAAAGTGTATTATAGGATTCAGTCAGTGACGACGCGTGCCCTATCTGGAAGGGTGTGCGGCCCTTCTTTAATGTTGTTTTTACATGTACCAATTATATTAAAATATATGAGATCTTTTATTAATAATAACTATATTATATAAGGCAATAATATAGTCGCAATATTATATTAACAATTTATTAACAAAAGAACATATTAAACAAATTAAATTAATAATTTATATATAAATTTAATATTATGTCAATATGGAAGAAACAAATCTTTTCATATACATACTTGTAATATCAAACCAACTTTTTTCAAACAAAAGAGTTTTAACTCAGAACCATACATGTTTATCCAGTGATCAAACAAAATCAAACCCACTTGCAACGTACAAATGTGCGCACGACTACTCCGCACAGTAAGAACAGAGGGTGCTACTGTTAAAAGGGGAGAGACGAAATGTGATAGAAATGTATGCTGAGATGAGCTGCAAACTTCAGCAGCTCACGCAACCACTTTGGCAAATCATCATGTTGGATTCGTATGCATGCAGTTGATATTCGAATACAACAAAAATTTACTCTCATACAATTCCCACTATATAAATCTCTATCTCTGATATTACGAATGGGAGCACACGCACATTATTTTGTTCATATGCAACGTATGAATGTGTGGCCAACTTCTTTGCACACAAAGGGGAGAGACGAAATAAAATAGAAATGTTCTGTGATTTGAGCTGCAAATATATGAGCACAACTAACAAGTATAGCGGCTAACAGAAGCAAATTGATTGAGTTTTCATAGACAATTATATTTAATTGTTTTTGCTAAAACTTTAAAAAAATATATATGGAAATGTAATAAATAATAATAATTCTTGATGTGAAGATACTTAATAAATTTATATTTCAATGTTATTTGACATTTTGGAAATTATGTTAGGGTGTTCACCGCACACCTCCGCACCTTAGAGCAATCGTCACTGGATTCAGTGTACAATATATTTGGTGTTGTCATGTTTTATTTGTGTAATTTATTAAAATATATGAAGGAACCACACGCGTTCATAATAAATACAAATAAAGTGGGTGGTTTGAGTGGCGATTTTGGAATATGACGTATTCAAAGTCAACTGTTCTCTTCTCATATATAATATAATAAAATATTTGGATAAATGTTTACATATATATTCACAAATATATATATATTATACATTATTAAAAGAGATCTGTTTGAGAACATTTTTAGCACTGTACTTCGCACTTTGATACTAAAAATAATTTCTATTTTAGTGAAAAGGCTTCCACAATCTTTTATTTATTATGAGAACATAATCACAACAAATTTTTAATATTATAGTATATAAATAAACGACAAATTGTTAATAATAAAAGAAATGAACGAATGAATCAGAAGAACTTTTCATTAAGGCTCTAGGATTTTCTTTTCAGACCCAGAAGAAATAATGTGGACTATTAGGACATAATAGTTAGAATATATACAGAAAAAAAATTTGATTCCTTATAACATTATTATAATAAATTTAAAATTTAACAATTTATTCACATTTTCTCAAACCTGTTAGTTCGAGGGCCTTGTTTAAAGCATCTCTTCATTTTTTTTTTTTCAAATTGTTACAAACTCTCTGATTATAAGACCCCGATTAGAAGACAAATACATTTGTAAGCCAGAAGTAACGAACCGAACCTTCAGTATCCTTTTTTGTAAAATATATGTAGGACAGAGAATATATCTATTTGGAGTTTTAAATGTTTAAATATTTGATATGTATTATAATAATAAATATATACTTTTAATGATAGTGATGAGAACACAAGAAAAATGCTCTATAATCATTAAAATCGAGTGAAATCATTTCAACTTATGATAGATAGATTTGTATATAAATAAATGTAGGGTTCAAAAGAATTTAGGTCTAATAACCCGTAATAACTAAGTTTATAAAAGGTTAGTGTCATTTTGGGTCAAAGAGCACTCTTACAGGATCTTACTTCTTTAAGTACCGGGATGAAAAACACACAATTAACGATGCAAAGCATTATAATATACTGAAGTCACTAAAATTGATATTAGTAATCATTAAATTTTAATTTTCTAAGAGACTTTTCATTATAAATTAAAACCACTTAAAAAATTCGTGGGTTATTTTTATTTAAAAGAAGAAATCAACTATGGAAAAACAAGCATATCATTATTAAAATAATGAATCATAACGATGACTTGTAACAATTGTTATATGATAGAATACCTATATTATAATAATTGCTGAATGTTGCTGAGTTTTTAATAATAAATAAAACTCATTTCTAAATAATATTTCATATAAAATATTTTGATATCACCAGTTGGGAAGTATTTGCAATAGAGTGTAGAGAGGATAAATTGCTCTAGAAATCATATTCTATTACTTATTAGCCATATTAAAAATGCATATGTTTGCTAAATGGACAGAGTTATGAATATTTTTACTTGTGGAAAATGGTTGTTGACACACATATATATATATATATATTATACATATGTAAAATAAGTTGAAATTGAAATAAGCTGCAACGTTTATATCAACTGTCTATAATGATTGTTGATATACATGGTTAAGTCCAAAGTACTTTTAAAAATAGGCATTTGAAGTGAGGTTATCTATAAGCAATTACGGGCATCGATAAGACAGATCTTTTATCACTGCTGTGCAGTTAAAAGTTCATCACATTTCAATAAATAGAAGTATGGTTATTATACATATAATGACAATTATTCAGAAAGTCATTAATCAACGTTTTGGAAGACTTTTAAGTTCACAAAATAATATTGTACCTTTATGAGCAGTTGTAAGTATCTACAAATATTACTTTGAAACCTCATAAGTTAAAAAATTAAATTATTTAAATTATTTGAAAAGTAACACCATATCATATATAGGAAAAATCTTAATTAAGCTTAATTATAACCTAGAGTACAAGTATCTATTAGGAAAAATGTAAGTGTATAAGGTCTGTAGTATTACAACCGGTTATCATTTGCGATTAATTAAGCTTTGGTGCACAAGGCAGCTACTTCAAACTAAACCAACCCAATAAATTAAAGATCAATTAAAAAAAAATACTTAAGTATTGATTTAACACTAAATTGTCTTTCATTTAAAGAATAAATGACACTTTAGAGAGCCTAATATATTGAACACTTGTGTTAGTTAAGTGTTTATAGGTATATATTTATTTTGTGAGGATTAATTATCACAATAGGTTTAATTATTAGGGTTTATGCCAAAGTCCAATTGATTACAAATAATCGCTCATTGTAGTACTTAGGATTAGCATTGTTTATACGCCAGAAGTATTTATATACCACAAGGATTTCCGTAAATACCGCAGTGGTAAGCGTACGAATAACGCTGAAAGGCACGACTCCCGTATTCAAGTAAAAGCTAACTAACCTGACAAATCTATAAATTTGGCCAAGTCTCTAACTTTGCAGAATGTTAACTCTGTTTGGTGAATAAGATTTAAAATTTTCTCCTTATTAATCATGGCACTGACACATGAGATAGAGCATAGTTTTCTTCTGTAGGCTAGACCCAGTCTTAAGGTATGTCTTCCTAGTACGCCGGGCCACCTGTAGTGTTAACCAGTTTACGCCTTAGCGTTCGAAGGGTTGCTATTAGTATAAGCTTAGGAGCAATTTCTCTGATAGATATTATTTTTCATTGTTCCAATTTTGACTATATTAATTATTCTATTATCCTATTTAATCCTATTTAAACAATTGTTAAAATTGTTTATTAAAATTGAGAATTAATTGAGTGAATTTAATTTATAAGACTTCCATTGGGTTTAATGCACAAAATAAAATTATTTAATTTTTATAGGAAATCTTTTGTCAAACACTTAGTCGCATCCTTATATTGATTATTTGATTTTTTTTTCTCAATACACATAGCCATTGTACAAATTTTTGACAATCAAAAGTGCTGAAATGCCCATAGTAACCAACAAACAACCCTTAGCGCATACACAAACCCATGCACACACATACCCCAGCTGTTCTTTTTTCTTCTACATTCTGCCACATCATTCAGTACTTTTCCATTGTAAACTTTGCTATTTTTTTCACATGAAATTTTTTTTTGCATGAAAACACAACTGTCAAAAGTGGTTCTACCGTTTAAAGGCCTATGAATCGGACTTACCTTATTATATTTCTTATTCTTCAGATGCTCCAATCCTGAGATTTTACCAGGTACATCACTTTCACCTGCGGTGCCGTGTAAGCCAATGCAATCGCGTTCATCGTCGTTGCCATTTAATTTAGAGAATTCTTTACAATCCATGCTGTAATTTGCGCGTTGTTGATAATTTATTGATTTATTTACGTTTGAATTTAATTTTTGATTAAATTCGTTTATAGTATTTAAATTTTTATTTAAATTTTCCAAGTCAGTTGAGGATAATAACGGCGTTAACTTTGTATCGTTGCACACACACGACGATTTTGACTCAACTGAATCGCTTGTTGGTTCTTCCGCTATGCGACTAGTACTGATTTTGCAAAGCTTCGCTATGCCGTTTGATAGTTCGTATTCGATTGTTGTTGCTGTTTTCGTTGTTGTCGTATGATTTTTATTTCTCTGGCTACTGCGCACAGTTGTCGTTTCTGTTTGTATATTTTTGAAATTTGTGCCAGTAGTGTTGTTGTTCGATGTTGCACAGCAACAACTTTCATTGGGTTTGATATTTATTACGTCATTATTATTTCGTTGGTGCTGTGCTATTGTGCCGCCGTTCATACATGAATCAGCTGTTTCGTGTTCGTTGACTGGAATTGTTGTTTTGTATATGTGTTGGTGGTGGTTTTGATTTTGATTTTTTGTTGTTTGAACATTGGCAGAATTGCAAGACGAGTTGTACGCCGTTGGATACACTGGTGAGCTGTGAAGGAAAAATGAAAATGAATTCGTTAAAAGAAAGTATGAAGCATAAGATAAAATTGGCAAACATAAATCATATGAGTTGTGGTTTTATGACGAAATATTTTAATTCATTTTGTAATAGATTTTGCGAAGCAATGTTATCTACTTCGACTTGAAGGTCACATCGTACAGGTGTAAATCGGTTTGTTGTTGCTAAGAGACAAGAAATTGAAGTCTGAATGTGGCGAGTGTGTAAGAAGAGTGTGCGTGGTATAGATGTTATGTTGTATGAAGTTCATAACTGTTATAAATGGAGTATTTGTTAAACTGTTATAAAAGTTTAAAAAAAATTTAAAATTTTTAAAACTAACTATTGGTTTATCGAATTATTTTCTATTATTCTTGTAAATAACATTATTTAATGTTTCATGAATTTCACAACTGTTATAAATTTAGTAGTTGTGGCAACTTTAGTGTTTTTTACATTATTTTCTATTATTTTTGTAATAATAAATTTAATAAATTGTAAACATAATAATATTTATTGAATTTTATAACTGTTATAAACCCAGTAGTTGTTTAACTATTATAAAAGTTAATTATTAACTAACAACTATTAAAAAAAATTAAGTCAACTAAAAATTAACTATTAAAATAAATTCTTTTACTTTATTTTAGATATTATATTATTGTAAATAATAAAATAATTAAGAAGCTAAATGTTCATGAATTTCATGAACAGTTATAAACGGAGTAGTTGTTAAACTGTTATAAAAGTTTTAAAATTGTGTTAATTTTGCGCTCTAGCGACAGAAAGCGCTTAGTGCCACCACCATGCCATTGGCTTATACCACACTCAAGTAAAATTGAGTACTGATATTACTTTTTATAACAGTTTTCGAACAATTTACTGTATTTGGTGGATTGAAATTTTACTTATAGTTTGATGCTCGTGTTTCATACATTTTTCATCGCTTAAGCGCAGGATGGCGACGTTTTTAATCTCAACTGTGGCCCGAAACCTGAAATGTGCTTGATAATTGTGAATTCGATTATCCCGAAAATAAATTTTTTTCTAATTTATTTTAAAAATTCCAACGAAGTAGTAAAGTAAGTATAAACTGGTCACTCTACTTAAGAGTGAACTTTTGTTGAATTCTGCCCCACTAATCCCATTGATTGATCCATAAATACAGGGATTAAAAGTTCAAATTGAAATTATATATGTTTTGATCACGTGATTCTTATCTTATCAATTTTTCTACCAGACTTGCATATTTTTTTTTGCATTTTTAAACGTGTCGAACTTTGTACGTATATTCTTTAAAAATGCTTATTCACAAAAAATGTTTAACAGGTGATATTGATAACCTAATTTTAGATAGAATTGTTTCGAATCAGGAGATTCAAAACTTAACTGATTAAATCAATAAAATTGCACTTACCGCACCTCACTCTTGCACCTATGCAAAAGCTTCGTTAGAACACTCGCTTGTAGAAATTTTGTTCCCATTTCTATCAACTATTACAGGTCAATAAAACAATTTTATATTTATTATATATATTTTAACTAATTTATTGAAAACGCAGCGAAATCACACTAGATCTGAGCGAACACCTCAAAATAACTGCGAGTAAAAACCTAACAAATCTGTACAAAATGAAAAGTTTACAATTTCTTTTTTTTGTTTTGCTTTGTCTTTGATTGTGTTTTTATTTTTGCTATTGTTTTTATGATAAGTTTTTGTTTACATCTCTTGTTTTGTTTATTTTTAGTTCGGACTTTGTTGTTGTGCCGTTGACTTTTAGTACTCATTATCGGTCGTTTAGAAAGTGCATAGAACAGAAGGGAAAAATATGATAGGAAAATGTAAAATTTATTAATAAAAGCTGTCAATATACGATTGGACGAGGGTTGCTACGAAAGCTATTAAAAATGTTTGAAGTTAATTATCAATACATAATTTGATTGTTTATAAATATTAAATAAAATATTTATAACAAGTGGAAATCATTACATATTTACATATTATTAATTTAAACAAAAACATGAAGAGTTTGCCCGGTACGAATGTATATGTGAAAATAATACCTTGGTGAGTATTTCGTATCGGATGAAGACATACAATTCTGTTACGTAGGTTCAACAATACAATTTATAGAGGAAATGGAACTAGGAGGAATACTCTAACTGCATAAAGTAGTTACAATAGATCACTTGGTTGCAGTGCAAATTTCCCCAAACATAATAATGATTGAATAATATATTTATTATATAATGTGTAAATATATGTTTGAAAATATTTAATTAAAGCTTTAATTGAATAAAAAAAAAATAATAATGATGAGAAATATATGTAGTTCGAATGGAAGAAAATACTCTAGTTAGAAAATGCTTGTTTGATTCGGAACCTGCTGGTGTAAAAAACTCTGTAAAGCATGTCCCCATCTCCGGTGGAAGGACCCGGTGGACAATAATATAAAGGCATTCGGTACTACCAACTGTCGACAGCAAGCCACAGATCGGTTAGCGAGTGCTATTAGACGTAGCCAAGGATAACTGACGTCTGTATTGGTCTGTATTTGTATCCTGAGTTGGGTTAGTAGGGCATTTGTAACAACAATCAGTTGTGCATCTGAATATGTTTCTGTTATACTCGTAGTTTGACATGTTTAAGCATTACGGTAGAAGATTTTTCAATAGTAACTTTTAATGATGATTGATTTTTACCTTAAAGTCAATCTCATAGAGTTATAATGCTTACAATTGGGGTGTCTAACGAGACAGATATGCTCCGATCACGTAATAGCATAGCTATTCA